CGGTTAATGTCCTTTCATTCCTCTCGCTGTCTATCCAGGGCCTTTTTCTGGCTGGTCTCCCTGCTCCTGGCCTCTTTGATCTGGTTTATTTCGGTGCATCTGAGTGACCGGGAAGATGGGCGTCTACAGTACGGCCTTTTGATGTTCGGGGCAGCTGTCTCGGTCTTGCTCCAGGAAGCCTTTCGCTTTGCGTACTTCAAGCTCCTCAAGTAAGAGTGCCTTGCTAAGCTGTGGCAAATATTCCCACTTCTGTGCCAATTTTTATTTTAGTTTTTTGTTTATACTTTTCAAATTGATGCATTCCATTAGTTTTACAATCAATTTAACATTTCTAAATTTGACTTCCTTCTCCCTCTTTCTGTGGTCCATTTTTATAATGGTCTTTTATTGATAAATTTAATGCGGCATCCTTTTTTAAAAAAAGAAACCACTCAAAGGTTTTTTATTGCAATCAAGTGGTGTGTATAAACCTTGTTGAATAAATAAAAGTAAATTGATCCATCCATCTCCTTTATATACACACAAAGGATACAATAAATCAAAACATAAAATTGGAGTCTGTTCATAAAAGGAGATGCAGTGAGATAAAACTAATAAACCAATGGAAAACAATTGTTCACTGAAATTTCCTAAATAAAAGATGGCAGGGCGAAATGCAGCAGTGCATCGCAAATAAAATGGAGTATGGTTCAAAAGAAAAACAAAATTAAAGAGTCGGAACCTAGGAGCTCTTGGGTAAACATGGAAGTTTTTAAAGAGCATTCAGGATTATTTAGTTGTGATTCCTACATTGCCAGACTACCCAACCTTGATGCCTCTTCCAACACTATGCTATAAAAATCTCATGACTGTCTCTGCCTCACAAACCGCCGACCAATTTCCTGCTTTCTTTTTGCATCCTGCCCTCAGGAAAGCTGATGAAGGGCTGGTGACCATCAGCGAAGACGGCCGGTCTCCCATCTCGATCAAGCAGATGGCATACGGTGAGTGAATTGCTGGCTGTTCCCTTTCCTGCGTGTCTGTCTCCCTACGTGCGTCACAACTGTCGCTGAAACAGTTCCTCCTCGTAGAATCCAGGTGTCCTTTTCTGGCCTTAAAAAGCAGCCGCCTGTAACCGACAAAGCCAAAGCAGAAGCCCTTCACACTTCAGAATTCGGTTTCCTTTAAAGCTCCATTTTCAAAGCGGCCCCTCCCAAGTGAAATACAGTGGTACCTCAGGTTACATACGCTTCAGGTTACATACGCTTCAGGTTACAGACTCCGCTAACCCAGAAATGGTGCTTCAGGTTAAGAACTTTGCTTCAGGATGAGAGCAGAAATCGTGCTCCGGCGGCGCAGCAGCAGCAGGAGGCCCCATTAGCTAAAGTGGTGCTTCAGGTTAAGAACAGTTTCAGGTTAAGAACGGACCTCCGGAACGAATTACAGTGGTACCTCGGGTTACATACGCTTCAGGTTACACACTCTGCTAACCCAGAAATAGTGCTTCAGGTTAAGAACTTTGCTTCAGGATAAGAACAGAAACCGGTCTCCGGCGGCACGGCAGCAGCAGGAGACCCCCATTAGCTAAAGTGGTGCTTCGGGTTAAAAAAAGTTTCAGGTTAAGAACAGACCTCTGGAACGAATTAAGTACTTAACCCGAGGTACCACTGTAAGTACTTAACCCGAGGTACCAATGTAACAACTTTGCTGACTTTTTCAGACCTCTTGAGTTCCCCTTCCCCTGTGTGTGCAAATTCCATTATAAACTGCTCTCACAATGGAGGCTGCTAGTTTGGAAAGTGATGTCCTGTAAGATGAGGCACGGCATAGCAATAAACGTTCTCAGAGTGCTGTGAAATGGGTTTGTCCTTCGTACTCTCTTCCGCAGTGTCAGGTCTCTCCTTTGGAATCATCAGCGGGGTCTTCTCCGTCATCAACATCCTTGCGGACTCTATTGGACCAGGCACCGTGGGAATCCATGGAGATTCGCCCCATTACTTCATCACTTCAGGTATTACACACCTGTAAGGTTATATCATATTACAAAATCTGGGAGTAAGAATTGCTGGAGGAAATGTGGAGTAATGGGAACATACAGTCATATGTGGTGGGATTGTCTGTTAGTTAATGAATTCCGGAAACAGATTGGTATAGAAATAACGGGAATTGTGGGTAGGAAGGTGGAAATATCTAAATTAATGGTTCTTATTAGCCTGAGTAGCACCGAGTTAGAAACAAAAGAGAATTGTAAATGGGTAAAATTGATGGTAATTGCAGCCAGACAGGTTATAGCGAGTAACTGGAAAAATGCAGAAGAGCTAGGGGTGAACCAATGGAGGTAAAAATTGAAAAAATATTATAATCTTAGAATATCTAACTTTGAAGATATATAAAATGAAAGGGTTTAAGGTCAGTGAGAAGAAGGAGAATTGGTTTGAGAAGATACTGAATTATTTGGGCAGGTTTGAACAAATTGGACAATTAAAATGTTAAAAATTAGATAAACCTTGTGGAGAGAGGAGTGTTAAGGTATATAGAATTGTACGTATAGTTGATTTGAATATGTTATCATTGATTATGTATACCCAATGTATCAGCCACCGGGGGGGGGGCAGTTTCATTGTTTGTTTTCACTGTTTGTGTTTTGGTTGTTGGTAAAATAAAAATAAAAAATCACTTCAGGTGACATACTTTCGGGGACATAGGAAGGCCATCGATACTGAGCCAGACCTCTGGGGTCCATCTAAGTTCTCAGTGTTCCCTATGGGTGGGGAAAACCTTTGGCCCTCTAGAATCCTAAAGGAAAACATGTAGAATGGTCTCAGCCCTTATATACCTGACAGACACCTGCACTCCCCAGGTGAGGATAACCAGCTTATCAGGAGGCCCATTCCATACAATAGAGCAGACATCCCCAAACTCGGCCCTCCAGATGTTTTGGGACTACAATTCCCATCATCCCTGACCACTGGTCCTGTTCGCTAAGGATGATGGGAATTGTAGTCCCAAAACATCTGGAGGGCCAAGTTTGGGGGTGCTTGCAATAGAGAAACAAGGCCTTCAAGGTTGTGGCATCTCTCATTTGGAATTCTGACATGCTAAATATTGGAGAGGTGCTGTCTCTGTTGAGTTTTCTGTTTTATAATTTAAAATATTCATTTAAACAACCTTAAAATATCAATGACTTCTTCTCTTTCCATGGTTCATTTTGCATAACATAAATCCCTGCATATTTTATATAAACTAAACCATTCAGTAACCCATTATTGCACCCATCAAAGCTTATTTATCGAATTTATCTTAATGCTGCCAGCGTTTTCAAATGTACACAATCCCCCCCCCCCGTATTTAATAAACGCTTTCCAATCTTCTTTAAACATACGTTCTTCTTGTTCTCTTATTCTATAAGATAGGTCTGCAAGCCACACATACTGTATTCTGTCAGTTTAAGTTGCCATTCTTCTTTGCTTGGGACTTCGCTCGTTTTCCATTTTGGGGCTAACGAAACACGGGCCGCAGTAGTAGTAGCATACGTAAATAACCTTTTTTTTTGCCTAGAAGAGATCTTTCCTAGTCTTCGGTGTGTAGCGGGATGGATTTTAAGAAGTCTGATCACTCCTGCCTTTGGGAGGAAGGATATACGTTTAACAATAGATAAAATAAAACACGGATCCATCATCTCTGAATGTTGGCTAATGGGAGTTGATGTCCAAAATTATCTGGATGGCCAAACTTTCCCCTGCCCTACTCCACACTGACTAATAAAGGCTCTCCAGTAATGGGACAATCGCAGCTCTACCTGGGCTGCTGGCCACTTGACAGTCCAAAAAAGATTGTCAAATGTTTCTCTAAACGGGCACTGTCCACATGGAACAGACTGCCAAACCACCGATTTTGAGAAACAGCGTAAATCGTACTCACCGCAATGTGGCTTGATCATTCTCCCGCCCTCCTCCTTCCAGCCTTCCTCACGATGGCGCTGGTTTTCCTACACACGTTCTGGGGCACGATCTTCTTCGACGCCTGCGAGAAGGGCCGCTACTGGACTCTGGCGTTGGTGGTCATCAGTCACCTGGTCACGTCCGGCTTGGTGAGTAGAATGACCCGTGTTACATCGGAACATCAGGAGAGCACTGTTGGATCAGGCCCCAGTCTATTCCAGTGTCCTGTTCTCTCAGTGGCCGAATGCCCCCAAGAACCTAGAAATCGAGATAGACTGCCACTGGAGCTGGAGGTTCCATAAGAAAGTCAGAAGAGCCCTCTAGCTGGGTGAGGTTAGTGGCTCATCTAATCCAGAATCCTGTTCTCACGGTGGCCGAGCAGACCCCCGAAAGGGAAACTTGCAGAGAAGACATGGATGCAGGAACACTCCTGCATATTTCTTCATGCAGCGTGTGGGTTAAACTACGGAACTCCCTCTCGCAGGAAGAAGAAGAAGAGTTTGGACTTGATAATCCTGCCTTTCACTCCCCTTAAGGAGTCTCAAGGGTGGCGTGTTAAACCACAGAGCCTAGGACTTGCCAATCAGGAGGTCAGCAGTTCGAATCCCTGCGACAGGGTGAGCTCCCGTTGCTCGGTCCCTGCTCCTGCCAACTTAGCAGTTCCAAAGCACACCAGTGCAAGTAGATAAATAGGTACCGCTCTGGCAGGAAGGTAAACGGCATTTCCGTGCGCTGCTCTGGTTCACCAGAAGCGGCTTAGTCATGCTGGCCACATGACCCGGAAGCTGTACGCCGGCTCCCTCGGCCAGTAAAGCGAGATGAGCGCCGTAACCCCAGAGTTGGCCAGAGTTGTTGTTTAACCCACAGCGCCACCCGCATCCCGACTGAGCTAGATGGGCCCAAAGGTTTAGAGAATAGCTTCTCTCTCTCTCTTTCGTAACCTTAGAACTTGGGAATATCCAATGAAGTTGAACACTGGAAGGTTCAGGACAGATAAAGTACTTCTTCATGCAGTGCATAGACTGTGGAACTCGCTTCCACAGGAGGCAGTGATGTCCACTAACTTGGGTGGCTTTAAAGAAGGATTGGACAAATTCATAGAGTGAAGCTATCAGTGGCCACAAGGCACAATGCTTACGTTCTACCTCCACGGCCGCAGGCGGCGATATCTCTGAATTCCAATTGCTGGAAACTGCAGCAGGGGAGAGATTCTCTTGTGCCCGAATTCTGTTTGTGGGTTTGCCACAGGCATTGGGTGAGAACACGATGCTGGACAAGATGGGCCTGATCCTGTAGGCCACTTGCTTTGTTTTTATACTGTCCCTTTATCCTGTTGTTTATTGTTGGTGTGAGGTGGGGATCTCTCCATTTAATAGTGAATATTGAATAGTTTTATTCCCACACCCCTTTTAAAAAAATATTCTGGTGTTAAAGGTCTCAAACGACGTGTGATCCCGGCTTAGTTACAACCACCCCTCTCTCCAGATTTCCAAAGGCTTTCCTGTGTGCTTTTCCTAGTGTTGCAAAGGAGAGTGAGGCCTGCGAGCAGGACTCTTAATTTGTTTCCCTCGCACCCCCTACCTGCTCCGCTCTTCTCCTTAGCAGTGTAGGAGGAGGAGAGGCTGGTGGGAGGACGTTAAATGTGAGATTTGCAGTCACATGAAAACCATCTGGCCTTCTAGAACAGCAGGGAATTATCCCCTAAGCCACATCGGTCAGCCGCAGTTGCCGTGGAGACGAGCCTGGGCTGCCTGCTTTGAAGAGGTTTATGGGATGTGGAAGGGATTGGCAGCAACCGCAAGGAGAGGATACAGGATCAGATCATAGAGCTGGAAGGGCCCTCCCTAGGTCATCCAGCCAACCCCCTGCAGTGCAGGAACCACAGCTAAAGACTGGATTTGGAGCTCCATCTGGTACGCAGGATGAGACCCTCCCTGCCCGCGGACTGTCTCGCCAGACTGGTGCATGCTCTAGTTATCTCCCGCTTGGACTACTGCAATGCGCTCTACGTGGGGCTCCTGTTGAAGGTGACCCGGAAGCTACAACTAATCCAGAATGCAGCAGCTAGACTGGTGACTGGGAGCAGCTGCTGAGACCACATAACACCGGTCCTGAGAGATCTGCATTGGCTCCCAGTACGTTTCCAAGCACAATTCAAAGTGTTGGTGCTGACCTTTAAAGCCCTAAACGGCCTCGGTCCTGTATACCTGAAGGAGCGTCTCCAGCCCCATCGTTCTACCCGGACACTGAGGTCCAGCGCTGAGGGCCTTCTGGCGGTTCTCTCACTGCGAGAAGCCAAGTTACAGGGAACCAGGCAGAGGGCCTTCTCGGTGGTGCCTGCCCTGTGGAACGCCCTCCCACCAGATGTCAAAGAGAAGAACAACTACCAGACTTTTAGAAGACATCTGAAGGCAGCCCTGTTTAGGGAAGCTTTTAATGTTTAATAGACTGTTGTATTTTAATATTCTGTTGGAAGCCACCCAGAGCGGCTGGGGAAAGCCAGCCAGATGGGCGGGGTATAAATAATAAATTATTATTATATATGGAGCAGAATTATTGCAGTCTGAAATCCTTTGATCTGAAATCCTGTCTTTCTCTCCCATCTCCACAGACATTTCTAAACCCTTGCTACGAAGCCAGCCTCATCCCCATCTTCATCATCACCTTCTCCATGGGGGTCTGGGCCTTCTTCACAGCCGGAGGTTCCCTGAGGAGCATCGTCACCTGCCTGTCATGTGAGGGTCGCACTTCTGTGTGGGAGAGGAACGGGTGCAGGGCAATAGCTAAAACAGACACACACACACACCCCAAGCCCACCTGGGTTTATACAGGCATGGGTAGGAGCAGAAACAGCTTGCTTGACCTAAGCAAATACTGTATTTTTCACTTTATAGGACGCACTTTCCCCCCTCCCAAAATTAAGGGGAAATGTGTGTGCATCCTATGGAGCGAATGCAGGCTCCTTGGCTTCAGTGATAGCAACGCGAAGCCTCCAAAGCGCAGAGGGAGCGCTCCTCTGCGTTGCTTTCGCTGAAGCCTGGAGAGCGAGTGGGGCTTCAGGGATAGCCGCCTGAAGCCTTCGGAGCGCAGCGGGAACTTGCGCTGCGCTCTGAGGGCTTCGGGTTCCTTTTGCTGATGCAGGGAGAGCAAGACTCTCCTGGCTTCAGCAGAGAGGGAGAGCTGCGCAGCGCCCCTTCAGCGAAGCGGGAGGAGAAATGGAAGGGGATCCGTTTCTCCTGCCGCTACACTGAAGGGGCGCTGAGCAGAGAGGGGGATTTTCCCCCCCCTTGTTCTCCCCTTCTAAAACAAGGTGCGTCCTATGGTCAGGTGCATCATATAGAGCCAAAACTACGGTAGCTTTAGTTTTTAAAGAAATTAAAAACCCAAGTTTCTAGTCCATATGTCTGCAGGGATTTCAAGTGTTTGAGCCTTGTTGGTTTAGAGAAAAAGGCAGGCGAGAGGTGACGTGATAGAGGAGTCTTATCAAATTCTGCATAGCATAGAGAAAGGGCAGAGAGAAATGTTTTCCTCCCTCTCTCATAACATTGGAACTCATGGGCTTTGGAGTATTCAGGACAGATAAAAGGAGTGCTTCTCCACACAGCGCCGAGTTAAACTTGGGAACTCGGTCCTGCAGGAGACCGAGCGATGGTTCCCAGAGTGGTTTAACAGCCGGTTCCTTCTTTCCAGGGAATTCTGGGAGTTGTTTCTCTGGTGGGAACAGAGGGTCTCCTCCTAGCAACTCTCAGCACCCTTCACAATCTACAGTTCCCAGTGGTTATGTAAGCTTTCGGAATATTTAGAATTAGCCAAATCGACAGGCATAATAAGACAAAAACCAAAAAGCGAAGTGAAAAAAGTGCCTAAATGAATACCTTAAAAGCCAAGGTTCGAGGGCAGAAATCTGTCTGAGTCTGGAATAACCTTGTGAAGTGAAAGGATAAGAAAGAGGGATTTATAGCTAGATGTTAGGATAGAGACGATCAGGAAGACAGGAAGACACAATGAGAGGTAAAGGAGGTGATGTGGGACTGGTGGAGGTCAATGTTTGTTTTTCTTTTTAGTGTTTATATTATTAACTTGTAAGATATGGATTTGTGGTTTTTTTGTTTTTTGAATGTTGGTTTTTGTGTATTGTTATTTTTCAATATTTTTCGTGTTGTGTGGAAAATACTAATAAAATTTATATATATATATATTTTTTAAAAGAGAGAAATATTCTGAAACAAGAATATATATATATATATATAAATCTACAGTTCCCAGGATCCTTTGGGAGGAAGCCATGTCTGCCTAAATTGATCCAGTTTAAAGTGGTTAAGATAGGGCCAGAGTCTTACTAGCAGACAACTGGCCAAAGATTGCCCAACTGGCAGCAGTGACCACCCAGATAACGTGGTTTAGATGGAGTCTAGCCAGTGGTTGCCTCTTTCTCTGTCCTGACACAGCCCCCTTTTCTTCCAGGCCGGCGGAAGGAAGCTGACCAAGTGATGGTCTACTCTGCGCTGCAGCTTCCTGTGGAGGACTGAGCCCACCCTTTTTCAGCATCCTGGATCTGAGGATGTTCCTGAGGACCACCCAAGTGCCCTTCCGTTGGCTGCAGCCTCTGCCAATCAAATCCACGCCCTCTCTCTTCCCTCCCCCCTCTGCCTGGGAGGCACAAGTCCAGAGGCGACCCACCTAGCCCAAGGGATGATTCCTTTGGCCCGAACTGACAGCTCTGATGGCAGGATGATAACTACTCCCAAGAAGTGCTCATTACATATTCCATATGGTTGGGAATTCAATATTCCATGTGGTTGGGAATTCAATATTCCATGTGGTTGGGAATTCAATATTCCATGTGGTTGGTTTCCCTACCGTCCCTCCAGTGTGTGTAAGGAGGTGTATTTCCTTGACTCTGATCTGCAAGAGGGAGAACGTCGGCTAATCTCTTAAGCATTTTCATCTTTTCGGTAGAGGCAAACAAGGCCACGTAATTTGTCCTCCGATGTATTCTTGGGACACACAATTTCTTGGAGCCAAAATGAGCCCCTTCCCCCTCTTCTTCAACGTCTGGGAGCTCAGGATATACAACTAGTTCTCTTTCTGGGATGTGTGATGTTGATGTAAGTGGCGCCCGTTACTCTTGGTCGGCAACTTTGGCCGGAGGGCCAAGAGAGGAGAGCAGGCCTGCTCGACCACAATCCACCCTCCTCGAATGAAGCAATTCCCATCAGCATCATAATAGCAACTGGAAGCTGGTTGGAACTGTTCAAGAAGGCCCGGATTTGGCCCTGCTGCCGTGAGTTGCCGATCCTGCTCTAATCTGCAAAGAGAGCACGATCCCCTCAAGTGACCAGGTTACTCTAGATCAGTCTTGCTGACGGCAGTGAAGGTCGGTCACCGACTTTTTGCTGTTAAAACTCCCAAACTGGAATGATCCCTTGTTCTGAAAGAATCCTTCCTCTGTGTGCAATTGATTTTGTTTTACTGTCGTACTTTTTCAAGGACAAAAACTGAACTGAAGTTTCTTTTTTTTTCCTTTGAGAGGGCAGAAGAGGTGGCACATGAAAAGCCTTTGGACTGAAACGCCTTCCTGTTGTCCTCGATGTGTTGAAACACTGGAGCCCTGGATTTTTAATATATGTGTGTCTGAATGTGCAAGGGCAGCCCTCCCTAAGTTGTTGGGGGCTCCCAGCTCCCAGCATTCCCTTGCTCCTGGGCCAACTTGGCAGGGGCTGAAGGGAGCTGGATTCCCAGCAATATCTGGTGGGCCACAGGTGGACTCCCTCCCTCAATGCTAGCCGCGGTCAAGCCCAAGGACCATGAAAGATAGCAGGCCCCTTAGACGATGAGAGCGGCCTTCATAGGATATTTGAGGAAGGGAAGAAGAAGGAGGAGGTCCAGTTGAGTGTGTACGGTTGCCATATTTCAGAAAGTAAAAATCTGGACAATAAAGTTGTTGATCTTTCTTTCTTTCTTTCTTTCTTTGCAAAAAAACCCCACTTCCAGCATGGATTTCCCCGGACTTTTTAACCAATTACAGTGGTACATCGGGTTAAGTACTTAATTCGTTCTGGAGGTCTGTACTGTTCTTAACCTGAAGCACCACTTTAGCTAATGGGGCCTCCTGCTGCCGCCATGCCGCCAGAGCACGATTTCTGTTCTCATCCTGAAGCAAAGTTCTTAACCTGAAGCACTATTTCTAGGTTAGCGGAGCCTGTAACCTGAAGCGTATGTAACCTGAAGCGTATGTAACCCGAGGTACCACTGTATCAGAAATTCTGCCTGGACGCTGTTTTCGGTGGACGAATCCCAGATATGTCTGCAAAATTCTGGGCATATGGCAGCCCTGTGAGTGTGGAGTCACCAAGGGCTCAGTTGGCACCTCCGACTGAAGATGGCCGTGTGGCTGCTGGCCAGTGCCAAGGCAAATAGGGCTTTCTCCATAAAGAGGAAGAGTTTCAATGATTCTGCCCCCCACCCACTTTCAAACAGGAACAAGAGAAGAAGGCTGTCTCTCCATCTGGTTCCCCCCCCCCAACTCTATGGTTGTGGCTGCCAGCCAGTGAGCAGCAGTATTGGAACCTTGGGCAGGAAAGCACTTGTGCTGCAGCAGGATGTTTTAGCGCCATCTGCTGGCCAGGATGTGCCACTGCATCTACATTAACATACAGTGGTGCCTCGCAAGACGAAAAGAATCCGTTCTGTGATTCTCTTCGTCTAGCGGTTTTTTCGTCTTGCGAAGCAAGCCCATTGAAGGATTAGTGGATTAGCGCTATTAGCGGCTTTTAGCGGCTTATCTGCTGATCGGACCAGCTGATTAGCGGCTTAGAAAAAGGGAGGGAAAAGGGAAAAAAACCAGCAGGAACTCGCAAGACATTGTCGTCTTGCGAAGCAAGCCCATAGGAAATTCGTTTTGCAAAGCACCTCCAAAACGGAAAACTCTTTCTTCTAGCGAGTTTTCCGTCTTGCGAGGCATTCGTCTTGCGGGGCACCACTGTACTGCTGCTTTGATATGTTGGGGAAGGAAGAGGCATTTAAAGGGTTTGGGTTGTTGTTTTTTGACAGATCACCAGTCCTTTAAATATAGAGATATATATTGAAGCCAGGATCCTTTTTCCTATCATCCCTGTTGCTGTAATGAATAAAAGGGCTTCTCTCTTGTAATAGGGCTTCCTGCGTTGGGAGTGGCAAAACGCCATGTTGTTATTATTATTTTACAGGTGCAAAGGGTGGCGTTGCTAGGGATGGGTATAACTGTTACAAATGTCTCCTGCTGGTTTTGGTGACGGGTCTGGGATCCCATCTTCAGGATTGCAGTTGGCACGATTGCACTCAGTTAGGCAAGGAAAGGGGGTCTTGCATGAGGGAGACCTTCCAATGCTGTAGCCCCCCCCCCGGAAGAATCATATACGGTGGTACCTCGGGTTAAGTACTTAATTGGTTCCGGAGGTCCGTTCTTAACCTGAAACTGTTCTTAACCTGAAGCACCTTAGCTAATGGGGCCTCCTGCTGCTGCCACACCGCTGGAGCACGATTTCTGTTCTCATCCTGAAGCAAAGTTCTTAACCTGAAGCACTATTTCTGGGTTAGCAGAGTCTGTAACCTGAAGCGTTTGTAACCCGAGGTACCACTGTAATTGCATAGTTCTTCCTAAGCCTAGTGGGAATCTCCGTTATTGCTGTTTGAGTTCATCGGTTCTTTAAAGCCCTAAAAGGCCTCGGTCCAGAATACCTGAAGGAGCGTCTCCACCCCCATCGTCCTGCCCAGACACTGAGGTCCAGCGCTGAGGGCCTTCTGGCGGTTGCCTCACTGCAAGAAGCCAAGTTACAGGGAACCAGGCAGAGGGCCTTCTCGGTGGTGGCACCCGCCCTGTGGAACGCCCTCCCACCAGATGTCAAAAAAGAAGAACAACTACCAGTCTTTTAGAAGACTTCTGAAGGCAGCCCTGTTTAGGGAAGCTTTTAATGTTTAATAGACTACAGTGGTACCTCGGGTTATGAATTTGTTCCAGAGGTCCGTTCTTAACCTGAAGCACCTCTTTAGCTAATGGGGCCTCCTGCTGCTGCCGCGGCGCCGCAGCTGCACAATTTCTGTTCTCATCCTGAAGGAAAGTTCTTAACCCGAGGTAATATTTCTGGGTTAGCGGAGTCTGTAACCTGAAGCGTATGTAACCTGAAGCGTATGTAACCCGAGGTACCACTGTATTGTATTTTAATATTCTGTTGGAAGCCGCCCAGAGTGGCTGGGGAAACCCAGCCAGATGGGCGGGGTATAAATTATTATTATTATTATTATTATTATTATTATTATTATTATTACTATTACTATTATCGGTTTGGGTTCTGCCCTCGGGAACAGCAGGAAACAAACTTGCTCCATTTCCCACGGGGCAGAAGGAAGAGGTCCAAGCGGGAGTTTTACTCCCCCAACCCACAGCAAAAGCCCAGAGATGCCCCACCTCGCAGACCGAGGGGTCTTCTTTGCAGGGAAAGGTGGTGGTTTTGAAACGCCCACCTCTCAGAGGCCTCTGGCTATTTTTGGCAGGGAATTCTGGGATCAGCTGACCCTGTGTTGGCAACGCTCCCTGTGCCCCCGCCACAAACTGCATTCCGCTCCCAAGTGGCGGCTGGTGTGGAATGTAGCGGAATTCCTAATTGCGGTTCCCATGTCAACACGCAAATAAGGAATTGCAGGGAGGGGGGTTGCGTTTGGCCATTCTCATGTACAATCTGTGGTGTTGTTTAGTCGTTTAGTCGTGTCCGACTCTTCGTGACCCCCTGGACCAGAGCACGCCAGGCACTCCTGTCCTCCACTGCCTCCCGCAGTTTGGTCAAACTCATGCTGGTAGCTTCGAGAACACTGTCCCACCATCTCGTCCTCTGTCGTCCCCTTCTCCTTGTTCCCTCCATCTTTCCCAACATCAGGGTCTTTTCCAGAGAGTCTTGTCTTCTCATGAGGTGGCCAAAGTCTTGGAGCCTCAGCTTCAGGATCTGTCCTTCCAGTGAGCACTCAGGGCTGATTTCCTTCAGAAGGGATAGGTTTGATCTTCTTGCGGTCCGTGGGACTCTCCAGAGTCTCCTCCAGCACCATAATTCAAAAGCATCCATTCTTCAGGCATGCTATATTTGAAGGTGGGAATCCTAACATCATAGCACTGGAGAACTGAACTGTTGGAAGGGACACCCAGGAGCCATCTAGTCCAACCCCAACTCACTTGGCAGAGCGGCACCGGGTTCAATCCCCAATGGCGTCACCAGGCAAGGCTGGAAGAGAGACCCCTGCCCAAAAACCAGAGACCCGCTGCTGCCAGTCAGTGTATAGAGTCTATAGTATAAGTTATGCTGCACTTCATGGACCAAGGGGCCAATTTGGTACAGGGCAGCTTCCTGTTTGAATCAGTCCAGAACCATGAGGACTAGACACTTGCATCGTTTACGATGGGAGGGCTGTATCTCGGTGGTACGGCATCTGCTTTGCTTGCAGAAGGCCCCGGGTTCTGTCCCCTGCCGCCCCTTGCCCAAAACCCTGGAAAGCCAACCGCTGCCAGTCAGTGTTGGCGAGTACTAAGATGGACCCTGATGGCCTGATTCAGGATATGGCGGTGCCCTGTTGTCTGTTGGCTTGGGAATTACAGAAACCATATCCTCTATGCTTCGTGGCTCCTCACCCCACCCCAAATTTCAAACAGATCATTATGAACCAGGCAGAGGGCCTTCTCGGTAGTGGCACCCGCCTTGTGGAATGCCCTCCCATCAGATGTCAAGGAAATAAACAACTATCTGGCTTTTAGAAGACATCTGACGGCATCTGAAGTTTTTAATGTCTGATGTTTTATCGTGTTTAATGTTCTGTTGGGAGCTGCCCAGAGTGGCAGGGGAAACCCAGCCAGGTGGGCGGGCTATAAATATTATTATTATTATTATTATTATTATTATTATTATTATTATTATTATTATTAGCTTTGCTCACGCTACCTAAGCTAACAGACCATCCCCAAAGGGTCTCGTAGTGCTAATCCCAAGCAAGCATAAAATGAGCAAAGGTTTGGACCAGCTCCCTTTCAAATCCACGTTTATATCCCCTAATATTCATTCATTCATTCCATCGATATAGGTGGCAAAGCTGGTTCTCTCACCTCCTCTTTTAACCCACACAACAAACCTGTGAGGCCGGCCGACAGGCAGCTACCGGCCTAAGTTCGCCCACTTCGCATCTGAGCAGGGATTTCAACCCTGGTCTCTTCCCGGTTCCGACACACTAGAGATTTCCTCCCCAAAAGAGATTTGTGCCCCATCTCCCCTTGTCTCCCCACCACCCTTTCCCCCACCCCAAATCCAAAGCAGTATGCAGTCACTAGGGCAAAAAGATGGGGAAGGGACTTTTATTTCTTTTATAAAGTGGTTAGATGGAAACGATCTGCTCAAAAGAGGACTCAGTCTACATCTGTTTGCAACTGGCTCCAGGAAGAAATGCGGTGTGTATCTGTGGGTGTTTTAAATCCATGAAAATAACAAGAATGTTCTGATTCTGATTTTTTTTTCCCCGGGTGGAAAGAAATCGCAAAGTGGACAAACCCAAAACTCTTTGTACATCTGTTCCTTGTCAAACCTAGCAGGCTGTGCCAAACTTTTTTTCTTTTTAAATAACCTGGATTTTCCTCCCTTCTTATCAGCCTTGCATCTCCAGATGTTGACCCTGTGAACATCCTCAACTCGTCAGTTGCACTGGCCGATGGGTGTCGGAGTACATTATCTGGAGGGCAGCTGCTTGAGAGAAAGGCCGCCCTAAATTCCTGCTCTCTGGGCAGAACAGAGGTGGGGGACCTTTGGCGATCTGGGTGCTGCCGAACTATAACTCCCACCCAGGGAACGGGGTGGGAGTTGTAGTTCCTCAACATTGGAAGGGCCAAATTTCTGTGGCCTCATCCGCTGCCCTTCCTGGCCCTGCAAAATGCGTATTTTTGTGTGTGTTTGTGTGTCAGGGCAAAGGAGGAGGAGATGGTTCAGAGGGAGCCTGTCTGCGTTGCAAGTCAAGGTGTCAGTCCAAAACGGCTCGCCGGGAAGAAGATGTAAAGACGACGCCCTTTTGTTCCTCCATCCTCTTCTCCCTGGTTGAGAAGGAGGGAGGGCGAAAGTCAGGGAGGCAGCAGAAATAACTTCTTGAGATCCTACAGCAGCTGCTCTAAGGCGCTGGCTGAACTACAATTCCCATTGCCACTTGCTGAGCCTAATGGGAGTTCCCCAGTCCTGAAAGGGTCTTAAGAGGCACCACAGCCCTCACCCCAAATTAGCACCCATCTCCTTGGGGGGGGGCATGTCTGGGGTACCACTTCTTGGTTTTTTTGGCATCAAGTTAACCAGGGGGGATACCTCCTGCCGGAAGAAGGAACCAGCTCGGCCTCAGTCTGTGTCCGCATCTCACCGTATTCTCTTTGCCACAATCCAGCCGGCGAGGAAAATGCCCAGGCAACCCAAAATCACCCCGAAAATGATGGCCACAATCTCACCTGGAAGGGAGAGAGAGCCATTCATGTTTCTTCTTTACAGCTGAATATTTTAGACTGTCTCCTACAAACCTCTTAGAGGCCTTTTGTCCTCATAGGGGGTGCATAAATTTTGTTAAATAAATAAAATACAGAGTCCCAAGTTGGTTGGGGTGGAATGTGCGTAGCTTCCTCACTGAGGACTAGCGCAGTGGAGCAGCTGAAGAGGCTATTTCTTTACATACTTGCTTGAAACTCAAGGAGAAGATGGAGAGCGCTGTTCTCTCTCTCTCCTGGAATATAGGAAACTGTCCTTTCTGCCGCCCAGCCACCTAGATCAGTAGTGTCTGCACTGATTGGTAGCAACCCTCCGCAGCTTTGGGCAGGAGTCTCTCCCAGTCCTGACAAGGTGCCGGCGGGGATGGCTCTGGGACCTCCTGGGTGCCAAGTAGCAGGCACTCTAGCACTTTCACTTAAAAGCAATAGTAAGGTTCCAGTCCTCATGGTTCTTCAGGAAGGGCTGGCTTAAATAGGAATAAAGGAAGCTGTGTTATACAGACCCCTCTAGCTCATTATTCTTGGCACTAACCAGCAGGGGGTCTACCTGGAGATGTTGATGGGACATTATGCACGCTCTATCCCTGAGCTTCAACATTAAAAAAAAAAAGATCATGGCCACTGGTCCCATCACCTCCTGGCAAATAGAAGGGGAAGAAATGGAGGCAGTGAGAGATTTTACTTTCTTGGGCTCCATGATCACTGCAGATGGTGACAGCAGTCACGAAATTAAAAGACACCTGCTTCTTGGGAGAAAAGCGATGACAAACGTAGACAGCAGCTTAAAAAGCAGAGACATCACCTTGCCGACAAAGGTCCATATAGTTAAAGCTATGGTTTTCCCAGTAGTGATGTATGGAAGTGAGAGCTGGACCATCAAGAAGGCTGATCGCCGAAGAATGGAAGCTTTTGAATTATGAAGGGGACGACAGAGGATGAGATGGTGGGACAGTGTTCTCGAAGAGACCAGCATGAGTTTGACCAAACTGCGGGAGGCAGTGGAAGACAAGAGGGCCTGGCGTGCTCTGGTCCAGGGGGTCATGAAGAGTCGGACATGACTAAACGACTAAACAACAACAACAAATCCCTGAGCTTTGGCCCTTTCCTTAAAAACTAAGCAGGATTCTAGTCCTCAAGATACTGAGAACACAATTCTAATACATGGGCCTCTCCTAACCCTGCCTGGAGATGTCAGAAGTGGGGACTGAACCCAGGACCTTCTGGATGAACAGCAAATGTTCTTTCACTGAGCCAGGGGTCATTCTGTGGGATGTTTAAATAAATATTTCCAGTTGCGGTCACCTCTTCCACCTGCCACCTCGATGCCCCCTGCCAGGCTCTGCAGGATTTGTGACCATCCCCAGATCCTGCCTGTCTCCCTCCATAGCCCTTTCCCAGCTCCCACTCTCCATCCCATCATGTCAAGCCACCACCCTATGCCATTCTTGCAAATTTCACCACCCCGCGGGTAACACCTCCATAGAGCAGCTCCGTCCATCCCGCTGAACAAACAAGAGGTCCACATACCTGCAGAATATCCTGGCGGCCCTGAAAAGTAAGATGAGAGGAATTTTCAGTGTTATGCATTTTCAGGTATGCATTACATACCGTATTTTTCGCTCTATAAGACGCACCAGACCACAAGACGCACCTAGTTTTAAGAGGAGGAAAACAAGAAAAAAAATATTCTGAATCTCAGAAGCCAGAACAGCAAGAGGGATCGCTTCGCAGCGAAAGCAGCGATCCCTCTTGCTGTTCTGGCTTCTGGGATAGCTGCACAGCCTGCATTCGCTCCATAAGACGCACACACATTTCCCCTTACCTTTTAGGAGGGAAAAAGTGAGTCTTATAGAGCAAAAAATACGATATGATCTCTTTCAGCTTCTGCCTTCTGGAAGAAGGTACAGGGTTATGAAGACTAGGACTAGCTGCCTGAGAAACAGGTTTTATCCAAATGCGATTTTGGTTTTAAAGGCAGTGTAAGGTAGTCTCTGTGGGAGTATATTGTATTTAATTATGGGGTGTTTTTAGGGGGTTAACCAGGCTGGGATAGCTGGGATAGCAGGCTTGTTGGTTTTTGAATGTCTGAGGTAGATTTTTCAATTTCGTTGTTCTGTTTGACACAATGACAATAAAGATTATTGTATCATATCATATTGTATATATAGCTCAGTTGGTAAGAGCATGGCACTCTTAATCTCGAGGTTGTGAGTTCCAGCCCCACGTTGGGCAAAAGATTTCTGCGTCGCCCAGGGTTGGACAAAGTGACCCTCGCAGTCCCTTCTAACGATTCTATGATTTTATTAAGTTTGATTGTTTCTAGTCCTCAGGGACCATTGCAAAACAAAAGTTCAACCCAGTGGTTTCTGGAATTTGGGGGGGGGCACCATTCCGCCCCCACCCCCGACACTAGATCCACGAACTCATCCCCAGTACTCCCTGCTCTACCCTATAAAAAGCATTATTCAGAATAGCAATTTGCACAAGCTGCTAAGGGAGATAACAACACAATAAAATTCAGAACAGCAACGATTAATTGCACATTTATTGAAAATCCAGTCAAAACTCTGTTTAGTTTGATTAATTAAAAGAAGAAGAAGGATGACTTTGATTCAGCAATGCCGACTTTTCAAAGCCGATAGTCATTTGCACCTCCAACACCTTGCCCCCTGCCACCCCCTTGCCTATTAGCACCCCCTTAAGTTATCCCACGGGACGCGGGTGGCGCTGCGGGTTAAACCACTTGCCAATCAGAAGGTCGGCGGTTTCAATCCCCGTGACAGGGTGAGCTCCCGTTGCTCGGTCCCTGCTCCTGCCAACCTAGCAGTTCGAAAGCACGTCAAAGTGCAAGTAGATAAATAGGTACCACTCCAGCGGGAAGGTAAACAGCATTTCCGTGCGCTGCTCTGGTTTGCCAGAAGCGACTTAGTCATGCTGGCCACATGACCCCGAAGCTGTACGCCAGCTCCCTCGGCCAATAAAGCGAGATGAGCACCACAACCCCAGAGTCGGCCACAACTGGACCTAATGGTCAGGGGTCCCTTTACCTTTAAGTAATCCCACCCGGCTAGGAGGAAATACCATCCGTTTGGGGAACCAGGGACAAATGTATGTAAAGCATGGTAGCAGAAATAGAAATGGACCAGGACATGAATATTCCACAACATTGCAGGGGGTTGGTCTAGATGACCCTGGTTCCCTTTACAGTTCTGCAACATGAGCCAGTTTAGAAGGCTGGATTTCCTTTGCAAATCACACCTCGGCCCTTAAACATGGAAAGTTTATTGCTCTTAACCAGGGGTCGGCAAACTTTTTCAGTAGGGGGCCGGTCCACTGTCCCTCAGACCTTGTGGGGGGCTGGACTATATTTTGGAAAAAAATAATAATGAACGAATTCCTATGCCCCACAAATAACCCAAAGATAAATTTAAAATAAAAGGACACATTCTATTCGCTGATTCCTCGCTGATTCCCGGGCCATCCAAGGGCCGGATTTAGAAGGCGATTGGGGCGGATCCGGCCCCTGGGCCTTAGTTTGCCTACTCGTGCTCTTAAATTCAGGACCCATCCCCTGTACCCAACCCTCGCTGTTCATATTCCCTTTGTGGCTGCTGGGCCACTTTTGTCCACTAGAGGGTGGCACCTCCCTGCCTGTTTTTCCCACCATTCCTAGCTGGCAACTTCGCCCAGAAAGAGCGAATTCCATTCGCCCATTCCGAGCCTCTGAGACAGCTTCTCCCGGAGCCCTCAATTACCATCTCAGCGCATCGAAAATTAACAGATTTGCACAGAAACAAATGCTATCCCCCTGCTAACTGCTGCAGGTGAAGCTGCTGGGAAAGGCGCAGTCGCACAGCCCTGGTTGAAAAGTTGGCAACCATGATGCACAAGGAAGGGCTGCTATGCCAACTGCTCACTTTATTTATCTATTGGTTCCTTAACGTCTTTGCCCCCTCCATCCTCCCATCAGAGTGAAAGCTTTGGCTGCCGCGTGGAAGACGGAGCGAGCTTTTTTTCTCCTGCTCCGGAGGGTAGGACTCGAACCCACGGCTTCAAGTAACAAGAAAGGAGATTCCGACTAAATATTAGAAATAACTTTCTGGCAGCGAGAGCTGTTCGGCAGTGGAACCATCTCCCCTGTGAGGTTGTGGACTCTCCTTCCTTGGAGGTTTTTAAGCAGAGGTTGGGTGTCCATGTGTCATGAATGCTTGAGCTGAAAATCCTGCCTTACAGGGGTTTGGACTAGATGACCACGGGTCCCTTCCAGGTCTTCGATTCTATGATTCTAATCGCTCAATTGCTTTGCACAGGCTTTGGAAATTCTTCCCACTGCTCCATTGTGTGGTTGTACTTTGGAAGCAAAGGCAGACACTCTCTGCGTACTTAACTATGAAATAAATCATTTTGGGCTCAGTGAGGCTTACATCTGAGTAAACGGATTTAGGGCCGGCTTGTGTGTTGCTGGGATTCTCTATGCATACATACACACTGTAGGAGCTGCTATCCCTGCTTGGGTTGCTCACCAGCCCCCCCCTCCTTTTACACCTCCCCAAGGTGGGGTTGTGGGGAGGGTTGGTGAGCAACTGGAGGAGAGCCTTGAGTGCTCATCTCCTCCAATATTTATCCGACTTACAGAGACAGACAGAGAGATATGCGTGTTTAAGCAGAATTTTCCTGCACAAGAAGGTGGCACTCACCCACGGGGAAAGAGGCAAGAACCACTCGGCCATTCAAGGATTGCGGAGCCCGGAAATTATCCACGAGGAGCTCAGGGTGGGCTTCGCCTTCCGCTGTACTATAGACAGATTTCTGTAGCTTCTCTAGCTGGAAGAGAAGAGGTAGATAAAGGTGAACTTGAAGCAGCCCTGTCTCTGTACTGTGGGAGGAGGAACTCTCCACCTGTCCCCCGGAAAAAATCTCGGCTTGTTGACCCCGAGTCACCCAAGGAACCGACCTTTTCCATAGTTAAAAGCCCGCTCCTCATTTAATCCCCTCAACCCCTGTGAGGGAGGCCAGGCTGAGAGGCTGTGACTGGCCTCAAAGCCACACCCAGCGAGCTTCATGGATTTGAACCCTGGTTTCCAGGGTCCTAGTCTGGCACTCTAACCACTATGCCACACCGGCTCACGAGCTACAACCCCCAGGATTCTCTGTGGCTGTGAAACGGGTACAAAACCAAGGGTAAGGTAAGATTCCAGCATTTCGGGGGTCAGACTAGAGGACTGCCGGGTCCCTTTCTCATGATTCTAAATTTCCAGTGCAGCTCTTCCCCACTCACCTAGCACTGAACATCGCTCTGGGTTTTTGGGAGGTGAGCCTAAAGGTTTGTGTGTGGCAGAGAAGATACCTGGGCAGCTGAGAGCTGGACGGGCTGGTGGAAGACAGTCCACAGCACGCTCTGGAAGCACGGCGGGGTGGTCAGAGAGCCGTTGTAGCGGAAAAAGTGGCCCAAATGTACCGGCAGGAGGTCGCGGACGTTGAACGGGGCAACGGTGGTTTTCTGTTCTGTCCGGGAGATGTGAGCAGAGGAAAAAGAGGAGGAGAATGAAGCGCCCATACACAACAGGACAGCTTGAGTGGCTGTTTATCAGCTCCTGTGCCTGACCTTGCCTGGTTTCCTGCCTGGTGTCCTGCCTTGGCCCTGTCAGACTGACTCCTCGCGGAACCCTTGGATTCGGGACCAGACCTGGACCGCATTACTCGGGTTACCCCCAGGCCCAGCACACTGTGTGCCATTGGCTTGATCCAGCAGGGCTTTTCTAATGAAACCTCCAGCTCTAGAGGCAGTCTATCGTCCTTCATAGGTGCTCAGGGGTATTTGACCACTGGGCGAATGGGATGCTGGACTAGACGGGTCCTCCTTTTTCAAACGCTGCTCCTTTTCACATTCCAAATCCCATTTCACACACACACAAGCTGCCTGCCCTGATTGGTCAAGAGGAACGATTCACCTGCGTACTGGATCTTGTCCAGGAGGTCCAGGATGTGGTCGTAGGCAGAGTTCTCTGCATCGCCAGCCTGCCAGACACATTGGGAAGATGGTGAGCTATTGTTTTTCACTTATTTCTGTGGTGCCCTTAGAGGTCCCTGCCCCAAAGAACACACACAAGCTTCATTCGGGCAGCTTTTCGGGTGCATTGTGTCTTTGCTATTATAACACTTACCTCCAGGAAAACGCCCAAGACCGCCAGTCCATCTGGGTGGTGCATTGCCAAACTCACGTTGCTGTACTTCTCCGAGTTGTAATGGACAACGTGAAGCTGAGAGAGAAAGAGAGAGAGAGAGAGATTGAGAAAGAGAATTGGGAGATCTAGTGCAGTGTTTCCCAACCGGTGTTCCGTGGCACACTGGTGTGCCGTGAGACCTTGCCTGGTGTGCCGTGGGAGGGAGGCGGGAGAGGCGGCGCCCGAGATCGCTTCTCCCCACCGCCCCTTGCTTCAAAAGAGGTCCGGGGACAGCGGGAAGCGCTTCGCGCTGCCCCCGGACCTCTTTTGAAGCAAGGCTTTGCGGGGAGAAGCGATCTCCCCGCAGCCCCTTGCTTCAAAAGAGGTCCGGGGGCAGCGGGAAGCGCAGCGCTTCTTCCCCGCTGCCCCCGGACCTCTTTTGAAGCAAGGGGCTGCGGGGAGATCGCTTCTCCGCTGCTCCGAAGCGGGGCGGGGGGGGCGGGAACACCTGCCCCAGCCGCCCCGCTTCTCCCGCTGCTCCGAAGCGGGGCGGGGGGGCGGGAACACCTGCCCCAGCCGCCCCGCTTCGGAACGCTGCTCCGAAGCGGAGCGGGGGGCGGGAACACCTGCCCCAGCCGCCCCACTTCGGAACGCTGCTCCGAAGCGGGGCGGGGGGGCGGGAACACCTGCCCCAGCCGCCCCGCTTCGGAACGCTGCTCCGAAGGGGGGCGGGGGGGCGGGAACCTCGCACCCCGCCGCCGGGCATCTGAACGAGGTCCTGGACCTCTTCTGAAGGCAGGCGGGGGCAAAAGTCTTTGCTCCCCCCGCCTGCCTTCCCGGGACAGCGGAGACTTCTCCGCTGCCCCGGGCGATCTTAAAATGCTGGTGGGCGGGAGCGAAGTGTTCGCTGCCGACCCCCAGCATTTTAAAATCTCCTCGGGGCAGCGGAGACTTCGCTCCCGCCCGCCAGCATTTTAAAATCGCCCCGGGACAGCAGGGGCTTTTAAAATGCTGGCGGTCGGCAGCAAAGCCCTCCTGTCCCCGGAGCTTGCGGGGCGGGAGGTGGGAAGAAGGGCTTTTCTTCCCACCGCCAGCCTTCAGAACAGCCTTCTGAAGGCTGGCAGTGGGAAGAAAAGCCCTTGTCCCCCCCCCCAGCCTTCAGAAGAGGTCGGGGGACAGTCTGTCCCCGGACCTGGTCTGAAGGCGGTTTCCCTAGGAACGCATTAATTGATTTTCAATGCATTCCTATGGGAAACCGTGCATCGCAAGACGAAAAACTCGCAAGACGAAGAGACTTGCGGAACGAATTAATTTCGTCTTGCGAGGCACCACTGTACTTTTTATATAGTCAATATAGGCACAGAGTTAATTTTTTTAACATTTTCTAATGGTGGTGTGCCTCGATTTTTTTCATGAAAGAAGTGTGCCTTTGCCCAAAAAAGGTTGGGAAACACTGATCTAGTGCATGTGACTTAGCTAGGGGCGCAGATCACCTGCGATTATTATTTCCATTCTTGCACTGTAAGTCACTTTCAGGCACTTTTGTGTAAGAAGCAATAGATAAATGTAATAAACCAGCACCTTCAAACCTAGTGATGCTCAGGAATTCTAAGAAACAAACAAACAAACAAAATCAGTCCAATTTTTTGAACTCTGGTTTCAGAAACAGAGCAGTTTTGAAAGTGGTGCTTAAAACCGGCGCACTTTCAGTGGTGAAAATCAGCACAGTTTTTAAACTGGTGGGTTAAAATCAGCATTCTTTTGAAATCGGTGGTTAAAATCAGTGCCCGCTTCGACGGCCCAGTCAGCCATCTTTATTTCAAAATGGCGTCCAAAAACACGAGAAGGAAACCTGCTTCTCGGCCTCAGGAACCGCCGTACGAAATTCGGCGGTGACATCTTAAGGGGTGTCCGAATGCACCGCGAACAAACGGCCTTCCATAGCAGGGAAGAAAATTACAAGGATGAGCCGTCGTCCTGCCCCGGGTGCAAAAATGTCCCACAGCAGCCCTGCCCCCCCAAGGCGTTTCTGATTCCCCCAGCCCTCGTGGCGTCTGCTACGAGTTTTAAGCCGGTTACCCGTCTACTGCCGCCATGGCTGGGTCAGCCCAGGTCTCCTTTAGCGCTTGCTCCGACAAAAGAACTTCAGCCATTTCCCTCCCCTCTTTCTTCCCGCGCTCTTAATTCTCACTGTCCCGGGTTGCCCTCATTAATCCCCCACCGCCCCTCCATGAACTGGAGGGATCTTAAATCCAGCCAAAGTCCTCCATCTTTCTGGAGCAATTACACAAATTTGCAAAGGTGGCTCTGCCTCCCGTTTCAGGGCCTGAAGCTGCCCAGGAAGAACGCTAAATCTCCTGTGTTGTGCTATTTCCTCGCACGCTACCTGGTTATATTTTCTATGAAAGTGCAGTTTTGTAAAAATAAAAAAAATTAAGTGTGTGTGAGAGAGAAGGAGGGAGAGGTGAACTTGTCAATTCCAGTGTCCTTCAGCTTCTCATTTTTCCAATCATAAGTTCAGTTCTCTGCATTAGCTTGAGAATCTATTTTTAAGTTCCCCGTGAAAATTCACCGGCTAATTTTTAGGACAGATTTCTCCTGATTCATACGTTTTTAGAGAGAGTCCGGGTGGTTAGAGCGCTGAAGAGACTAGAGCTCCAATCCCTGCTCAGCCAGGAAACTCAGTGGGTGACCTGGAAGGAGGTGTGGAGTGGAAGCAGTCCCTGCGTCTCAGCCTGAGCTACCTCATAGGGTTGTTGAGAGGATTAAATGGGGAGGAGACATGTGTACACCACCTTTATCTCTTTGAAGTGTGGGTGGCAAGAATAAATAAATATCTGATAAAATGAAATAACTACATGCAATTTTGCCTAATGCGCTTGTTTCTGCAAAGCCTCCTCAAGTTAAACCTTTTTGCATGTCATTTCCCCTAATATATCATTTTTTGTGGGTACTTTAGTATATATACTTTAGTATATATAGGGACACGGGTGGTGCTGTGGGTTAAACCACAGAGCCTAGGGCTTGCCGATCAGAAGGTCGGCGGTTCGAATCCCCGCGACGGGGTGAGCTCCCGTTGCTCGGACCCTGCTCCTGCCCACCTAGCAGTTCGAAAGCACATCAAAGTGCAAGTAGATAAATAGGTACCACTCCAGCAGGAAGGTAAACGGCATTTCCGTGCGCTGCTCTGGTTCACCAGAAGCGGCTTAGTCCTGCTGGCCACATGACCCGGAAGCTGTATGCCGGCTCCCTCGGCCAATAAAGCGAGATGAGCGCTGCAGCCCAAGAGTCGGCCACGACTGGACCTAACGGTCAGGGGTCCTTTTTTTAGTATATGCATTTTCGTATACGTGACTCAGTTGAAGAACTACAGTGCAAAATTTGGAGGAGTGTGAATGTTTTGCTCTGGCCTACTTACTTCTGCCGGGAAGGGCCTCCCGTCCACCTTGTGCTCTGAGCCTTCGTGGTTCCCCTTCCTCCCCCAGTGAAGGTGCAGCTGAACGGCCGTAAACATTTTGGGCAAACCGTGCAGTCGCATGCTTGGGGGTAGAGACATCTGCACTGCAAGAGAGAGAGGGGGATAGAGAGAGAGAAGCCACAAGGTCCTCATTCTGGTGGTTGCAAACCCTCCAACCTTTCTCCGATGAAAACAGGGACGTCCCGTTCCATAATGATAATTCTATAATTTATACCCCACATGTCTTACTGGGTTGCCCCAGCCATTCTGGGCTACACACAGTCATACCTCAGGTTACGAACTCTGCGGGTTGCACATTTTCGGGTTGCGGACCATGCTGAACCCAGAAGTACTGGAACGGGTTACTTTCATGCTTACGCATGCGCAGAAGCGCAAAATGACGTCATGCGCATGCACAGAAGCACAGAAGCGCATCATGCACGTGCGCAGACGCGGCGGTGCGGGTTGCGAACGTGCCTCCCGCACGGATCATGTTCGCAACCTGAGGTATGACTGTATATAAAAACATAATAAAACATTAAACATTTTTTAAAAACTTCCCTATACAGGATTGCCTTCAGACAGCTCAGGGGTCTGCATACCCCCCATCATTTCTCCAAGGAAAATAGGGACGTCCTAAGGAAAAGCAGGACATTCCGGGATCAAATCAGAAACTGGGATGGCTTCTCTAAATCGAGGATGTCCCTGGAAAATAGGGACACTTAGAGGGTCTGTGCTTGGATGGGGAGAACCATTGCTTCCTTCAGCCCTTCATTGCAAGCAGAAGCATTATTATTCGCATGTGCAAAGAGAATGGATCGTGCCCTGGAGTTGCCAGGTGAACAACTGGCCACATTTCGTCGCCACGGTAACGGACCAGCATCTTCCCTGGTACAGAGGTCTCCATGGCGACGTGGAGGGGAGTCTTCCTGGCACCAGAGATTTTGCAGGCCGGGGCTGTAGCCATGGGCCGACCGCTCTTCAACAAGGTGATTATACATGACAGACATGTGCTAGCTTCTTGCATTTTTCTATTTTTATGTATCGAATCCGCCTTTCCATCCTGCAGCACTCTGGCAGGGAGCGTTCCCTAACCCCAGGAAAATAGAAAATACAAATGGCCGATGGCGTTGGGGAAAGGGGGAGTGCCGTTAAGTCCCATAAACATCCACACCTGTGTGTCCGTTATTTATCAGGGTGAAGTCATCGCTTCCTGGATTCCGATACCCCGACGTCTCAACCGGAGGCAAGGAAGGGTCGTATTGGACTGCGCCCGTCTCAATGTCAATAGGGGACTGAGCCTTCCACCCACAGTCTGGGTAAGTGTCCGGCCAGTGCTCTTGTCCATGGGACCCTGAGAAGGAAGAATATAAACTGTTATGTACTGAAGTTCTCACCCTGGGCCAGCAGGGGGATACTGTAGATAGTTATGCAAATAAGGGGACGAAAATGACGTTCAGTGATTGGATAGTTTTAGAAAATTGTTACAGTTACGTTGTACTGGAGCTCTATATAAGCAGGCTGACTTAACCCTCCAGTTCAGTTCTGTTCTGGCCTGTGAATAAACAAGAGCTGTTTGAAGAATCGCTGTGTTGTCTGATATGTTCACCCACAACTTAACATAAACACTGACCACTGAGGCAGCAACGTGCTTGTGGGGAGGAGGGATTCGGGGCAGATAAAAGAGCATCCTTCTTCACACAGCACATAGTTAAACTATGGAACTCCCTGCCACAGGAAGCAGCGATGGCCGCCAATACGCATGGCTTTAAAAAATGGATCAGGCAAATTCATGGAGGTGGGAAGGCTATTGATGGCTACTAGCCAGGACAGCTCTGTTCTGCCTCCACAGTCGGAGGCAGAAATGCTTCTGTGGTTGCTGGAAACCACAGGAGAGGAGAACCGGTCCTGTGTTCAAGTCCTGCTGGTGGGTTTCCCAAAAGAGGCATCTGTTTGGCCCCTGTGGGAACAGGATGCAGGATAAGATGGGCCTTTGGCCTGATCCTGCAGGCTCTTATTCTGTTTTTAGGGGAAATCAGGAGTTGGTAAATGCACAACTTTGAGCCATCTCTCTCTCTCTCTCTCTCTCTCTCTCTCTCTCTCTCTCTCTTCTCTCTATCATTTAATTTTTATTAAGTTTTTCTATTTCACATTTTAGGATCTTCATTTAAACAACCTTAAAATATCAGTGACTTCCCTTCTTCCCTTTCCATGGTTCAGTTTGCATGCCATAGATCCCTGCATATTTTACATAAACTAACCAGTGTTTCCCAACCTTTTTTGGGCAAAGGCACACTTGTTTGATGAAAAAAATCTCGAGGCACACCACCATTACAGCCCCGTGACGTCAGCGCGCAGCGTCACGCCGGGAGGGACGCACGAAAGTGTAAGTTTCAATTTTTTCCCCTCCCCCTTGCCGGGGAACCTCCAAGCTTTGGGGGTGGGGGGGGAGGGCCGGGTCGCCGCCGTGAGGGAAGGGCGCCGGGGCGCTGCTGCTGCTGCTGCCGCCGCCGCTCCCGGCAGGGATGGGCCCAGCTGAGGCGGCGGCGGCTGTTGTGGTGGTGGCGGCGATAGCGGGCGGAGGAGGGGGCGGCGGCGGGGCCGAGGTGGCCGGCGGCGGCGGGGGAGGCGGCGGCGGGTGGAGCAGGAGGGCGGCCGAGGCCGGTGAGGGAGTAGGGTTGCCCGGGGCTTGAGGAGCCGTCGCCGGGAGTTGCTGCTGCTGCTGTTGTTGCTGCTGCTGCCCGGACATGCCGGCCTCCTCCTCGTCCGCTGTCTCGTGCTCCTCCCTTTTGTGCGCGCTGCCCCGCCGCCGCCCCATTGGCCGGGTCCTGTCAGCTGATCCTGTGTTATTTCCTGTGTGTGTGTGTGAGGGGAGAATGGAGAGAGAAACCTCGGCACCACCACCGCGGAGCCGCCCCCGGCTCGACGCGGATCCTCGCCGCCGCCGCCCCGCCTCTCGCCGCCCGACTCGCCCGCCTCCCTCCCACGGCACACCAGGCAATCTCTCGCGGCACACTAGTGTGCCGCGGAACACCGGTTGGGAAACACTGAACTAAACCATTCAGTATTGAATTTTTACATCCATCAAAACTTATTTACACTGCTGAATTTATCTTAATGCTGCCAACGTTTTCATACGTACACAATCTTCACCCATATATTCAATAAACATTTTCCAGTCTTCTTTAAATGTATATTCTTCTTGTTCTCTTATTCTATAAGTTAAGTCTGCAAGCTGAGCATATTCCATCAGTTTAAGTTGCCATTCCTCTTTGGTTGGGACCTCGCGCCGCAGTAGTGCCATACATAAGTAACGTTTTTTGACACCTGGGAATTTCTGTCTGAATTATCCCCAACAAAAAGGACTCTGGATATTGGGGGGGTTGTTTTTGTTTTTGAAAAAGTGCTTTTAAACATTCCCTTGGTGCATCAACCTCCCAGCAGTGTCATAAGTATATCGCCAAGTGACTCTAACTTCATGCCCTACACTGGATACAGTGGTACCTCGGGTTACAGACACTTCAGGTTACAGACGCTTCAGGTTACAGACTCTGCTAACCCAGAAATAGTACCTTGGGTTAAGAACTTTGCTTCAGGATGAGAATAGAAATTGCGCGGTGGCGGCAGGAGGCCCCTGAAGTGGTGCTTCAGGTTAAGAACAGTTTCAGATTAAGAACAGACCTCCAGAACAAATTACTGTAAGTTCTTAACCCAAGGTACCACCGTACAACCCTTGATTTCATTCATGAGAGATGTTCTTTCAAATCACCTATCCCTGTACAAGCCCACTCAGACCTTGAGGTCAATCTCCAAGCTCCTTCTCTGTGATCAGCAAGAGAACGGTCCTTTTCTGCCATAATCATTATTTATTTAAGGTTCTCCCCCCCCCCATCTAACCTTTATTGAAGTTTTGAAATTATAAGAAAAGGAAAAATTTCCAGAACGAAAGTGAGAAAGAGAAGAGAGAAGAAATTGTGGGGATTAAGCATTAAGCACCATCAGCGCAGGGACGGAACATTGGCAGAGCAGAATATCTTCCGTGGTGTAAACAAATGCTTCTAAGTATTTGGAAAAGGAAACGTCGTGCTAATACATGTGATGGATCAAACAAGAATGTGTTAATCTTAATTCCTTTGCTTTCTTATCACATACAGTGGTGCCTCTGGTTGCGAACGGGATCCGTTCCAGAGGCCCATTCGTAACATGAAAAGAGCGCAACCCGCAGCGGCGCATCTGTGCACGCCCAGGTTGCGATTCAGCACTTCTGGGCATGCACGTGACATCATTTTGCGCGTCTGCGCATGCGGCGAAACCCAGAAGTAACCCTTTCCGGTACTTTCGGGTCGCCGCGGGACGTAACCTGAAAGAACGTAACATGAAGTGGATGTAACAAGAGGTATGACTGTATACAACATAGGAATAGAGAGATGATAAAATAAAAATAAAAAAGCAAGGGTGTGCTGTATCTTGCTGATAGTATGTTCTTGTAATGCTTACTCTATAGTAAGCTGCAAGGACCATCTGAAAAGCTATTGCTTAGCTTTGAGGAGCACATGGAAAGCTTTGAGATGTCCCTCATCCTCCAGCCTAGAAGGCTGGAAGACATCAGGGCAACCGCCTGGGTGCGATGACAGCTCCTCAGACATGGCCTCTCTCTACACGGGCTGCCGGGCGCGAGAGCAGGCGGAAGGAACTGGTAGCGCAGAGGTGTTCTGGGGCGATTATTTGGGGTCTGGACCGAGGGAGGAAGGAAAGGGCATCATCTTTGAGAGCCTGTTGCTGACAGAACACCAAACTACCGCCAGCCAATTTGGAGCGAAGGGGCCTCCAATTTGGAGCGAAGCCCCCAAGCCAGATGAGTGCGTAACCCCAGTTGGTCTCTAAGGTGCTACTGGACAATTTTTTGTTTTTTTATATATTTCGAGATGGGTGGGATATTATTATTATTATAGAATAGGGTGTGTCCCTATTTTCTTCAGAGAAATGTTGGAGGGTACGAAATCCTGTTCCTTTCAGTAAGAACTGATACCCGGTGCAGGCTCAAAAACATTTCCCCCCGTAATTGCTGATTGATACACAAAAGCACGATATGGGCAGGAACTGTGGAAAAACTGGATTTTTAAGTATATATGTGTGTATAATTGGACACCCATGTGAAAAAGCATTTTAAATTCTGGAGTTTCTAAGCCAGCAAAATGAAAAAGCATGAGACCAGAAAAGATTTATTCAAATCAACCATAAAAACTGATCCTGATGAATACACAGCCTGCATCTGACCACGCCCAAAATCTGTGCCACTCTCCACCGCGCAGCCACCCACAAAGAGTTTTTTGCCTGTCCTCATCTGCTTCCTAGCATTGGCACCCAGTGCCAGTTCCGCCAGTAATAAGGGACGTCTTTTCCTCGCCAAAAAAGAAAAAAAGGCGAAAAGGCAAGTCAGGTCCTCTTTCTTTCTGTGAAAGAGGTTTGCTTCTGAATGGCCCCCCCCCATGCAAGGGAGGAGAAGCACATCACACGCTCCCTTGCATCTGAATTCAAGCGCTCGCCGGGCTCTGCGCTGGCTGCAAAAGTTTTCCTTCCATGCGGGGAAGCAAGGATAAAGCTGTTTGCTTTTTCCCTGCCTGGCGCAATTGTCATTCCGGTGGCCTCAGAGCTTAAAATGACAGCAGCATGGCTGGAGGGTTCGGGAGTTGTTTTCCTGCACCTTGGAATGAAAATTCGCCGCTGCCGCCACCAAACAGTTAGCCCGACCTATTGGAAAAGACATTTGTTGTTGTTTAGTCGTTTAGTTGTGTCCACCTCTTCGTGACCCCCTGGACCAGAGCACGCCAGGCACTCCTGTCTTCCACTGCCTCTCGCAGTTGGGTCAAACTCATGCTGGTAGCTTTGAGAACACTGTCCCACCATCTCGTCCTCTGTCGTCCCCTTCTCCTTGTGCCCTCCATCTTTCCCAACATCAGGGTCTTTTCCAGGGAGTCTTCTCTTCTTATGAGGTGGACAAAGTATTGGAGCCTCAGCTTCAGGATCTGTCCTTCCAGTGAGCACTCAGGGCTGATTTCCTTCAGAATTTGATAGGTTTGATCTTCCTGCAGTCCATGGGACTCTCAAGAGTCTCCTCCAGCACCAGAATTCAAAAGCATCAATTCTTCAGTGATCAGCCTTCTTTATGGTCCAGCTCTCCCTTCCATACATCACTACTGGGAAAACCATAGCTTTGACTATATGGACCTTTGTTGGCAAGGTGATGTCTCTGCTTTTTAAGATGCTGTCTAGGTTTGACCCATTGGAAAAGACATACAGATGACTAAACCTGAGCCCATGAATTTCACTGGGTCCTACTCTGAGTAGAGCTTC